CAGCTATAAGGGATGGAAAAGACTTTAATTTTTATTTTAAATAGAGGGAGATTTGCACGAGAAGCTCTGAGATAAACAAGAATCAGAGATCCCCAAAGGAAACTAGCCCTGACACCATGTGCACCTGCTTCTAGGTCTGAGTCCTTTACCCTGTGCATCCTGCAAGGCCCCTGCAGCCCAGCGCTGTCATGCAGGGGAGGTTTTTGTCTGGCTCTCATTGACTTCCTCTCACTCTGTACCTTGCACATTCATACATGGTCATGTCGTCAGCAGTCCAGGAACTCAGCTGCAGGAAGAACTGATTATTTTGTGTGTCTTTGGTGATCGATAATCCACATTGGAAGGATGAGTTATAATTTGTATTATTGTTAGGTTTCTCAGGTGAGAAATGCCTCTGTCTTGACTTCTCACAAGAAAGAATTCATGCCAAAGCCTGGTTGGCGATCCAAGTGCGTTTTTATAAAGGATAGAAGCAGTTTCAGGCGTTACAGGAAAGTGAACACAAGCAGTCTCATGGCACCCCACACCCACACGTGGAGACCTGAGGCCCGAGAAACCACAGCATGTCAGAGGAACAGCTGGAAAAGAGGGAGGTGGTCTCAAGTTTCTGGCTTTCAGGGTCCTCTGCCATGGTGGCATGGTCGATGGTACTGGTTGACCCCATTGGCTGAATTAAGCCCCCCTGGCCTAGATTGGGGTCCTCTCAAGTGTACTGGCTTCCTGTCTCAAAGGCCTAAATTTGTGCATGCCTTCTAGCCTTTATCAGCTTCCAACTTCCTGTAAAAGGGGGAGGGAGGCTGTAGTATTAAATTAAATGGTGGGGAGGTGATGGGCCAGCCCCCACCGCTACTACTACCTATGGGTTCAGTAAGCACAATTGTATGGTTGATATATATATCATATATATATATATATATATCAATCAATTGTATGGTTGATGTATATTAAAGTCATCGAGAGCATGAGAGATAAAAGATATTACAATGATGTAGTCAGACACATTACATCGTAGCATTGCTCACTTCCGTCCGCTTGGTGGTCCTCGTGGGGGGAATCCGGCTACGAGAGCAGGAGCAGCCTCGGGGACCGAGAACCGTGGAGCCTCTCCTGGTCCGAGAGCCAGAGAGGGCCCCAGGAATCGGGGTGAGCCTCCTAGCCCCAGAGCTGGGGAGAGCCTCCTGGGCTCCGGAGAGAGACCCCTCTCTTTTCTTGCTAATCACGCATTATATCACTTTAGGGGGACATGATTACAGAATCACACGTCACAGGAAGGGGCAGTACAATAGGCATACACATTGTAGGAAGGGGATCTATGATAGGCATCAGCGTAACAGGAAGGGATAAGCTAGGGGTGTGCCCGTAGGAATGGGAAGGTCTAGGGGTATACATGTGACAAGATGGGCGGACCCTGGATTCATGGTGGCAGCCTAAGCTTGGTCATTCTTGCGCAGGCTTGACCTCTCTGGTGTCTCCTACAAGGAAACAGACAACTACTATCCTTATCAGAAGGGAGTGGGCCCTACTTGTGGGATAAACAGTGGTGTCTGCTTGATCTAGACAGCTGATAACTCTCAGGGAGAATGACCCCCAATCCACTCCTGAAGACCTCCAAGTGTACAGTCATTCTCAAGCAGCTAAGTTTGGCATATATTTGGGGGAGACAACTTGAGAGAAATCCTTCTGTTTCCCACAGGAGGCCTTGGCATGTAGAGTGGCAACCCCTGCTTTCTGCTTCTAGCTACCTAACATTTCCCCACTGAAGGGGTGTGGACCCAAATCTTTGGGCAATGACATCTCTAGCTACTTCCTGCTGGCAAAAGGGGCGCAAAGTGGGGCTTTGGGTCCACACCCTTCCTAGTCTGTTAGAAAGGCTGTCCCCTAGTGCTCATGATGGATGAGGTCGGGTGGTCCAGGAGCTGGGGTTCTGAAGCTGGCAAACGTGGTTCAGAGACACTTGGTTCTGAGAACTTCTGGAAGAAACAAACAGGTGGACAGTTCAGGTGATACTGGGGTAAGGTTGTGCGATGGCAGTGCCCTCGAAGGTCGGGGCTAGTGTCACGGGAAGTTTAGGAAAGAAATCTTAGGGCTGGCAGGCATAGGCACTTGCTCACGTGGAACACAGGAATGGTGTGAAAGCATTCACTGGCTTAAAGACTGTGATGGCTCTGAGGTAGGGTTTTCTGTGGAACACTTTCCATCCTGGGGTGGCGGTGAAACACCCCCCAAGAGCTCTTAGGGGTACTTGTCTGTATGCTTTGCTTCTGAGGGGTCTGGGTGCAACAATTTCCACAGTTTCACCTGTGAATGGTGCCTAGGGTCCAGGGAAGAAGGTAAGGACAGGACAGGCAACCCGTTTCTAGAAGGACATCCACTGACCTTGCTGCCACATTGACTGTTCACCCAAGGTTCCAGTCCCGCTACAGCTATCTCCTGCTGCTTCACTGACCGGGCCAGGCCATTCTTCAATGAGCAGCTGCCCACTGGCCTGCGGGCGCCTTCCCTACTGGTTGTTGGCCATAGGACAAAGGACACCCTAGTGGCCAGCTTGCTTGCCGGGGTGGCATGGCCTTTGCGTGGGCTTGTTCCAGCTAGGGCAGTTCCATGCCCAGTGGCCCAGTTCCCGACACACATAGCACTTGGGACTTTGGTTACGGGTCTTGGAAATCTGGGAGGCAATTGACGGGCAGTTACTAATGCGGCCAGTACCTGGGCATATCCGATGTCCTTCGTTTTCGCTTTCTCCTGAGCCTGCACCTCCCCCTCCTGTTCCCTATTGTAAAAGGTGGCATTAGCACCAGCAACCATCGCTTCTAGGGGGGGTAACTCCCTCATGCTTCTGCACTAACTTTTGGAGTTTCTTTTTCCAAATGTGGTGCGGCCTGTGTGAGAAATTTGTCCGTAAGTAAGACTTGCCCTTCATAGGACTCTGCGTCTACAGCAGTATGCTTCCTCAGGGCCTCTTTCAGCCACTCTAAGAAGCCCATGGGACTTTCCTCAGGTCCCTGGTGAATCCCAGTCACTTTGGCATAATTAATAGCCTTGTGCCTACCTGACTTCAGTCCTCTTGTGATACACACCAGAAAATGTTCCATGCCCACTTGTCCTTGGGGTCATTATGATCCCAAGCAGGGTCAGTCAAAGGCACAGCTGTTTCCCCTACTGGGTACTTATCATTCATCACATGTAACTGCTCTGTACCTTTGAGCACCCGTTATTTCTCAAAGTCCATCATAGTCTGTCCCAGTATGACCATTATATCCTTCCAAGTTAAATCACAGGCTAGGGTGAGGTGCTGGAAGCTTTCTATGTATTGTTTGGGTTTGTTAGAGCAACTGCCCAGGTCACTTTTAATCTGCTTGAATTCAATTAGCGTGAAAGGCCTGTGGATGCCTGGGGACCAAACGCCCCAGCTGTCTCTACTAAGGGTAGAACGTTGGCAGGTTTAGAACTGGGTGAATAGTAGCCCCTAGCTTCAGGGCCCCTTAGGGCCCTGAATTGTGTCTGACTCCATTAATTCAATCTCTCCTCTATCTCTCATGCTCTCTATGACTTTACTATAATTTTTACTTATTATCCCTGTACAATTGCGCCTACTGGACCTGTGGTGATTTGTTAGGGACTCTCCTCTCCCCACATCACATTAAATGTATTGATGGAAACACAGCCCATGAAAGACTATTACTTGACTGGAACTTGCTGAAAATAAGACACTTATTCACATAGAAAGGTTTCATCAAAGAGTAATACGGAACCCTCAGATTGGGGGGAAATAAATCTTTAGCAGTGAGGAGAGGGAGAGAGCAGGGGAGGAGGAGACAACTGTGGCGTTTTCAGGAATGCCCAATCTTGATGCTCACCTGAGCATGCATCAAGGGAAAGGAGGCTTGAGTCTGGGGGGTGTGGCTTGGGGAGCAGAGCCTGAAATGAGTGTCAGGGTGACACAGGCTCCTCAAGTCTCTTGATTCCACAAGGCTTAGGCCTCTTCTTCCACCGGGGTGGTTGGGAGGAGTTCGTGTGCAAGCCGCATGGTGCCAGGAGAGACTGGTCAAGTGGAGCAGATGGCATCAGACGCTGTCAAGCGTGTGTCTCTGTGGTTCACGCAGCTGCAGTGTCTCTGGGAGAAATTCCCAGTTGGGAAGCATGCCTCCACCCACCACTTTTCTGTCAGTTTGTCTTCTGTCAAGGATTGTGTGTTGTTGTGATTCAAATGCAAGCAGGGTCACCCAAAGGAAACAGGTTTCAGCAGGGTCTCTGTTAGGTCTTTCAGAGACAAGAGACAGAGGGAGATCTTTAATAGATTCCTTGAGGGAGGTCTGGTTTGTAGGGAACAGGAAATTAAAGAAAATGAGGTGAAAGGATTTAGGATAGTCCTTTGTCTATAGCCAGAGAATTCGCTAACTTACAAGGCAGAGAGAGTACACGAGGGCCGCTGTTACAGAAAGGAAAAGAACACGAGGTGTAACACAGACCCACTAACAAACTACAGTTGTCTGGCGAGGACAGAGTCAAATGGCTCTGGTGCCACCGCCCCGATTCCGCTCCAGGAGCCGGGGCGGGAAGGGACGGTGGAGAGAGCAGGCGGCAGGAAGGGTCCCCGAGAAAGAGGCACGGGAGTTTCAGGTAGCTAGCAGGGGGCGAGGAGCGCGCGAAGCCGCAGGAATGCCAGTTGGACTTCTTCTGCGCCAGCTGTCCATTTTAGGTTTGCTGAATCCCGCGCATCTTTCCTGCAAAGGGCCGGCGCCCGCTGACGTCTCCTGATCCGGCGCGGAGACGGCCGAGCGCGCCCCGGAAACAGAAGGGGTTTCTGCTGCCGCCTCCCAACCCGCGTCCAGACGGAGAAGAAACTACTAAAGATGACTCGTGGTCACTGCAGGCCCCGCCCCCATGCCGCCCTCATGATCTCCAGGCCCCGCCCTTCGCACAGACCCCACCCCTTACCCAGGTGATGCAATTTCCTGCTGACCTCACTTCCTTTGCCTGAGAAGGCTCGGAGGGAGCGTCCCACGAGTTCCCACGGGTGAGTGAGTCTCCGTGTCTGTGCTGATCCCAGGCGCGGAGTCCCCGCGGGCCTGGCGTCCCCAGCGGTGTCCGGGTTCCCGCGGACGTTACACTTCCCGCACCCCGTCCGCCCGCGACCGCCTGGGACGTTTCCAGTTAAATCCTCTGAGCTGGCTACAGGCCTCTCTGCCTTCGGGCCTGGGGATACTCTGTCCCCCGTTTCTTGCTCAGAGCCCCTCCTGCACCCTCACTCCTCTCTCCAGAAAGGCGCGATTGGGGGCGGGTTCTTGCCTGGGCCCGTCCCTTCCGTGTCAGGTCCTGGACACGAGAGCAGGGGACCCCTCGAGGGCCTTTCCTGAAAGGAGAGGCCACCCGTGCAGTCATCAGGCCACCCCGCTGATGACTGAGGTCTCTCTTAGAGCTTAACTTCGCACCTGACCTTGCTTTGCAAAAGGTGCCATAGCAGCCCAGCCCCGAGTCCCGCACAGATGAAGCCCTCACACGGATCGCAGCCCCACAGAGAGTAAGCTCCACGAGTGCTTTCCGCCCCGGAACCCAGGTTTGGGTAACATGGCCCTATGACCTTCACCTCTCCAGGCAGTTCAGAGAGGGGCAGTCTCTCTTGGTTTGCCCTCGTGTGTCCTTGATGGTGGTCACCAAACTGGAGACAGTAGAGGGGGTCTCCTAGACAGGAGCCATGTGCTCAGTCTTGCCCTGACTGCATGGGTCATGAGGCCCTGGACCCATCTTGTAAGCCCTCTATCTAAGGATGGAACTGTCTGTCATTGTGATGTACTGATTGACCACCAGACATGCTTTTGTGACATTTTCCTTTGCCCTTCCCCTCCCCCACATCCTCTTTATCTCACATCTCAATTGTGAACCTGGGAAGCCAGTCGGCTTGTGAAGGCTTTAAAATATGTCACTTGATGTACTGCTGTGGATGAGATTTTTGCAAGGCTTATTGCATCTGCAGTTACATTACACTGACAGAGCAGAATTGTAGAGTGACCGTGGCAGCTCATTTCTCTGTATTTTATCGCTACTTGGCCATGAGATTTCAGCATCAAAGTGCATCATTAGCCTTTTCTAGGTTGTTGTTAGGTGTCATCCTGTCCATTTGAACTCATACAACCCTCTGTATAGTAGAATGAAACACTGCCCTGTCCTGTACCATCCTCACAAATGTTCCCATGTGTGAGCCCTTTGCTACAGCCCTCTGTCCATCCATTTTATTGAAGGCCTTTCTGTGTTTTGCCTCTCTTCTCCCTTACCAAGCACAATGTCCTTCTCCAGGCCCTGGTCTCCTGAAAAAAAAAAATGTGGGAACCAAAGTATGACAAATCATAGAGGCCAGTCCCACAGAGGAGAAAATGCCAGTGGTCATCACATTTAGTTAGTCAAGCTGGTGTGCCTTTCATGATCTGCAAATAGGAGAAAATCTTGGAGCGACCATCTCAAAGCCTGGTGTGTAAATCCTAGGATCCTTTCACAGTTTAAGAGTCATGCATTCAGGTTCAGTAAACTTGTCAGAAAAGTGGAATTTGAGGAGTTCAAGTAGAAAGCAAATGTTTTTTGTTGTTGTTTTTTACATCATTTTATCGAGTGCTCTTACAACTTTTGTTACAATCAATTGTATCCGACATATTGCACATATATTCCATCATTCTTTTCTGGACATTTACTTTCCATTGAGCCCTTATGATCAGCTTTTTTAAAAAAATCGTTTTATTAGGGACTTATACAACTCTTATCACAATCCATACATACATCAATTGTGTAAAGCACATTTGTACATTCATTGCCCTCATCATT